AGTTTGTTTGTTTGTTTTATTTGAAAAATAGATACACCAAAAATGAGTTCATATTTAGTAGAATATGAATGGACGAAGCAAAAAATAAAAGAGAAAGAAAAAATAATTCAATCGAGAAAAAAAATCACTTTTAAGTTTAAAGATTTTATTGACCTCTGACAAGATAATGATCGCAAAACATAAAGAACAAAGATTAGAATCAAAACAATTTTTTAAAAAGACTATTTGTGGAAAATTTTCACTTTCAATCTTAGTGTCATAGAACTGTTTCTAAGTTTTATTTAAAATTTTTAATGAAAAGTGAAAGAAAACCAAAGCGCAATCATTTAGAATTCAACTAGTTGTTGGTATATTTGTTCTTTTTTAGGTTTTAATAATATATATCAACAATTACAGATTTTATTTGAATAAGTAACATTTTATTGTAAAATGGGTGTCTACACAAATATATTTTTTGGTAATATACATGTACACACGATCAATTGTGTATTAGATATATACATACACATATTATACAAAGTGTTATAAACTATGTATCCATATAAATATACTTTGTTCTCAAGAATATACATGGCAAATAGATATTCATGGAATATTCTTAGATGCCCAAGTATATATATGTTAGAAAAACTTAATTTTGTATGTTAGAGTTTGAAACTGCTTGTTTAGGATGATCTCATTAATTTTGTAGAGCATTCAAATTTCACTCTTTTTGAATGAATTTTCGAGTTTTAAACATGTGTGGTTCTTTCTCCTTTTGTAACAGCACCCAATGGGTCTATTAACTATGAAAAGTGACACGTGTCGACATCCACGATTCTTTTAAAACCAACATAGGAAACATATATGATCATTTTCGTCAAAAACTTGGGGGTGCTTGATAATCAAGGACAAAGGGAGCATCAGACATGTCCATATCAATGGGCACTACCTTCTAGCTAGTAAGGAGATAAACTACTCTAAAAATTGACACGCGTAGGCATCAATGTTATTTTTATTTGTCACAACTGGGGTAAAACGTCGGGCAAACCACTCCCTTTATAATTAATCTTTTGATTACTGATTCAAAGGTTGGTGCATCGTGTGTAATTCTCAGCTCCACATCCCAACAGTGAACTGTCCACTTTCCCTTCTATTACTTTTAAACCACTATTTATCCTACTCACTATCCGATGTGGGAGAATGTCTCCATATATTTCACTTTAACTTCACTACTCTTAATAAGTATCAGAACTATCAAATCAATAAATTATTTCACTTCACAACTATTACTAAGGATCAAAACTATCAAATAATTAAATAATTCCCACATAGACTAATTGTATTATAATAAATTTTATTTCCTTTGTTCTTCACTTTTTTCGTAAGTGAAACATGTACAATCTTACGCAAATTTGTTTATTTTACTTTCAAGTTTCACAATAACATGTATTTTTTTATACTTTTCGTATAAGTTTTGAATATCTAATTTTTATTTAAAATATCCAATTAATGTAATCTAATTTAACTTTGAAAATTAGTCAAAATGACTTTCGAAAAGCGCAATGTGACAATGAAAAAGTGGATTGATAGAATATTTGTTACCAAATAAGCATAACACAATCCATTGTTTAATACAACACGTGTATTAAATTTACTCTCTCTTTTTTCGCTGCTATTTTTTTCTTTTTGATTAACAATTTTCAACATTTTTTTTATTATCCTCACTTGCAACTTCTAACTCTCTTATCTTCTCATGTTGAATTGTGCAATTTTCCTGATTCGATTTTCGATTGTGAGCTTCCATCTTTGTAAGTTGGTTCTTAAATAACATTAAGAAATGACCCTTTAAATTTAAATTTTCATTCTAAAATTGATTTCTACCTTAAAGTGATGAATGACTTTTCATATCATAACTTTTCAAATTCTTCCATTATGAAATAGATGATTATAATTAAAGGCTACATGATTTGTACATTAAAGTGACGAATGACTTTCCATATCATAACTTATCAAAATTTTCCATTATGAAATTTATGATTACGATTAAAAACAATATCAATGTACTCATTTATTAATTTAGTAAAGGGGCAAAATGATAATTGAACTTTGCAATTTGGATCTTTCCACTTGTAATATTCTAGTTCGCGGAATGTGCGTTGCACGTTTGTCCCATACAAATATTTTAAATTTGAATTATTATGAAGAAAATGTTGAGAAAATATTAGCTTTACCAATTTATATTTTATTTATTAAATAAAATTTGAAAAATAATACAATTACTATAACATCTAATAATATGAATATATCAATATGATTTATCCTTAATAAGCTGTCATTAAGCTACACACACACACACATAGTAAGGAAAAGATGAAAGAAAAAAATATTATAAAAGTACATTAAAAACGAATATAAAAGTCATAAATTAGTAATTTCAGCACTAATAAAAATAGACTTATAACATTCATAATTACATAGTAGATTATATTAAAAAAGTATATTCATAAATAATACAAAAAAAATCAAACAGATAAGAACAAATACAATATTCATATCCTTTTTAAGACTTTAATTATGGCAATATATATAGTAAAAAGAAATAGATAATGAGTAGAGTTCTTGATGATACCTTCACCCTTAACAAAAAAAATCATCTAAAATGGTAAAGATAAAAACATGGTATAAAATATCATTCTAATTAAAATCAAACAAATATTAATATATAAAACAAAAAAAGTACATTAAATTACCTAATGATTCACAACAACAAGAGGCAACTGGTAAACAAAAATTATTTTTTCATGATACATATATATAGCTAAAGATTTATAGGATAAGATGAAAAGGTGAATAGTTGTTTCAATTAATTTTTAGAAGTTGTGATCATGGGGGAGAGGAAAGGTTGATTGTTTTTACTAATAATTCAATACATTTAATTTTATAGAGAAAGGATCACAAATTTAATCCATTTAACCATACTAATTATAGAGAAAGAATAGAGAATTTTTATTAAAAAAAAAGGAAGTAATTCCTACCAATTTTCTATGAAATAATTTCTAACAATTTTCTATGAAATATTTTTGTCTTTCAAAGTTTGACTTTACACCTTCTTATTTTTAGTATTTAGTATAATATAATATAATTATTATTAGTATTTAAATAATTAGAATTTGAACCACTGTATCTAGATGCATGTATTTAAATATGATTATTTAATATTAAATTAATTATATATTAATATTTAATTCGAATTAGAAATAAAAATAAGGACAAAATGGTAATTCAACTTCTAAGTTAGTAGCTTCCCACTTATAATAATAGATGATGATGATATATACCCCTTCTTTTCTAAAAAATGTAAGAAGCATAAGACAACAGTAAGTGAAAAGAAAAACATTCAATAATAGAGAAAAGTTGGTGTTGTTGTTGCTTCTACTACTACTACGACCATTACCACCAAAAGAACTACCGAAGGAAAGCGACGCAATCTCTCCCTTTCCCTTTGGAAAGGAGAGGGCAGACAAGAAAATGTCCTTCATGCAAGTTTTTTTTTGCTTTCCGCGTCATTACAATACCACTACACATGCTTCAGTATATATTTAAAACTAAATATGAAACAATTTGATGTGATACCTCTATATGACCTCCATTCATGTTTATTAATTCAATTCTTAATATCTCTTATTCTTCTATCTCTTCTATCTCATGGTATCAAGCGTCATTGGGTTTTTTAACCCTCTCTCTCATAAATTGGAAAAAGACAGAGGGGATTGATCAATTAGATGCTAAATCAACCATATCACAAAATATATATGTCAAGTCTCATCCATTTCTTTCTCCAATACTTCTTTTTGGGAAAAAAAGCTTATAATAGATGGATCATCTCAATATATCACTTTAACTGGAGAAGACTATAATGACTACCTTCATTATCGAACATCAAGGCAGCAATCATCAACTACTTGCACAAAATAACCTGATAACTCTTTTGCTTATGTGACACATTCTTCCCCAGGAATAATATATTCTTGATACTGACGCTTCTAATTATATTTCTAGTAACAAAAACACTTTCTCTACTGTTACTTTGACGAAAGGATCAAAGACAATTGTAAAAGTGATAGGTATAGCTCACCCTCCCCCTTCCATGCCTTTAAAATCAATCATTTTTGCTCCCAAATGTCCATATAATCATGCTTCCAATAAAAAAATTAACAAAAATTAAACTTAAAATGTGTTATAACCTTCTTCGATGACTTTGTTCTTGTGCAGGATTTGAGTATGGGACAAGTAAATCCAAAAAGGGCATGAGTCATAGGTATTGTACCTACTCTCGATCCCAACACTACATATTGCTTTCACTTTCGATGTTTCTCTGAATTGATCCATAGCCAATTAGGTCTTCTAAGTCTCTTCAAATTACACTACAACATTTAAGGCCTACGGCCACCCCAGTAATTATAGTCTAAACTAGCAAAAAGTGTGGTCTTTGATAAAAAGCGACATTTTTGGCTTTTAAGCAACAATTTTCCAGGGGTGCCCAAAAGAAGTGTAACCTTAGAGTTTAGGCAACACTTTGCCTTATCAATTACACTTAAAAGCGTAGACTAAAAGGCAAAATGGCAACGCTTTTATGTACCTCATATAGCAACATTTTTATCTCATACAACTACACTTTCAAGTGTGGCCTTTGCTTCCTTATTGCCCACGATTTTAAAGTGTTGTCTTTTCTATCTAATGTATGACAATAATTTTAAAGTGTTGCCTTTTCTATCTAATGTATGACAACACTTTGAAGTATAGTCCTTGCCCATGTGCATACCACAATTTACAGCCCTATGACTACACTTTTAAGTGTGGTAATACTATTTTGACGATAAAATATTTATATGCCACAACTTCTAATTAAAAAACACCAATATTACTTTGCAATAAATACTCTCAAGCATTAAATTAGCTAGGAAGTAATTCAAATATATAGATTTACAATAAACTTCAAAGAATAGCATGTCTTGTGTACATGCACATACCTATAAATTAATAATCTAAATATGTCTAAATAATAGTACAAAAAGTATTCTTACAATAGTTCAATTAATTCTAGCAATGAATATATTGCACAAAATCAAAGATAATGTACTCAAACTTTTACAATAGTTCAAAAACTCTTCATTATCCACTTTAATAAGATCAAATTGACTTGTGGCGATCCTTCAAATTTGATCACCTCCATTTCCCTGTAAATCTAAAAAATATACAAGAAATCAGATTGCAACAGTACATCATAGAAGAGTCAAGAAGTTCTAGATTGCAAATTGTAGGTTGCAGACTTTTTGAGTTCCAATTAAAATTTCAGATTCCAGATTATTGTAGAGCACATATTACGTGATTTCCACATTGTAGGTTCAAGATTCCAAATCGCAGAATGCAGATTATAGTTCAATATTTCAGGTTCCAGATTGCAGATTACACATTACAAACTATTGCATATTAGAGATTACAGTTCTAGATTTTAAGTTATTGTAGATTATAGATTATAGTTTCAAATTATTGCAGATTACAAATTACAATTACAGATTGCAGGTTCCAGATTCCAGATTGTAGATTGTTGTTCAAGATTGCAGGTTCCAAATTGCAAATTGCATATTATAGTTCACAAATCAAAATTTAATGGCCACAAAACATTCATAATTTCGTAGTCCACTTCAGGCATATCATTAGGCTGTCTCTCATAATCTAGAACATTAAAATGTAATAATAACTACAATAAAGTAATACAATAATCGAAGTACAAAAAATGTCAAATAGTGAAAGAAAATCAAGCAACAAGAAACTACAAAGTAATAAAAATAACACTCGACAACGTAACTAACCTTTTATCCTAATTCGAGTTGTCCATAATCTGTTATCTATGTTCATATGTCGGGTGAGCTGAAACTACATCATGTTGTATCTAACCTTTGTAATACCCTCTCGGCTTCTGTATCACAAAGATGCCAAGCCTATTGAAGAATGAATGTATTCTTATTATATTAGATAAACCAATTAGGAGAAATTATAATTCAAAAGTCATAACCCGTTCAATGGTATAATAGTTATACAGCTTCTCAAAACACAGAGAGTCTGAACAAGTAGTTGAATTGAGATACATCAAAATCAAAAACTAATGAGGATGTAAGCAGCAATACAATGTTATGCTATTTACAAGTGATACATGACTGAAGTACGAGAAGAGTACAAATAAGAACTTATAACTTGAAATTTAATATAAGTTATATGTTTGTGAGATAGTGGATATGTAAATAAAAAAAAAGTTGCAAGATATGTTTTCATATAACATGATGAAAATATCATTTCTCTTTTATGAGCATGTGGGTGGCTTGTCACTTCGTTTGATTCAGATTTTAGTCTGTAGCAACTGTAAGAAAAAACACTACTGAGTAATCAGGAAAACAAATTCAACTTGTGTGGGCCATTTTCAATTGCATAATGCTCTAGTATAAAATCCTTTACCTTATCTCTAATCTTATATAGTAATACGTTAGCAAAAAAAATGTCAACTTGAGATCGAACCTCTAGTTTGTAAGCTTTGCTTCATCCAAAGAAAGGAATCAATCTATCTTATCTTCTACTCTTTTTCCTTTTATAGTATTAAAATCTAGCTCTTGCATTTTTATTCTATATGGCGAATAATCGTACCATATGTGTGAAACTTTCAATTGCATAACGCTCTAGAAAAGATCCCTTACCTCTTCTCTTATCTTATAGAATAATAGGTTTTAGAAAAGAAATTGTTACTGAAGATAAAAGTCTTACTTTTGTTAACGGGAAGAAAATGCCTACTACCAAGAATAATGTTGTAATTGTAGCTTTGGTTCCTTTCCTATTATACATTGACAGAAAAATGGGATAACATGAGGACGACGAATATCTGATAGCATCAGTAAGTTGGGGAACATTCTCCAACAACATTTTGTACAACAAAGTTTTTTACCAGACACCAAAAATCGGAGGAATGAGTTGCTAGCCCACTTCATTTTTTGAATATTTAGTTTTAAAATTGACAAAACATTGATTCTAAGATGCGCAGGTGTAGTTAAATTATCACTCTATCTATTGTTTTAAAGTGCTCTGTGTTATACAACATATAGTAGAAAGTGCTCTGTAGATAAATTTATTGAAGGCAATATGGCTAAATAGGCAAAAGACAGAAACAAATATAAGGTAAAACGCAAAAGTTTTATGCTAAATCTTTTTTGTAGTTTCCTTTGTATAAGGTCAAAACTATCTATCCAAAATACTTGTGAACTCACAAAAAATGAAAATTCCATGAAATACCATAAAAAAGAAGGAGAATTACTGGTAATGAATTACACACTAGAAGACATGATTATAGATGATTATTTTAATCAAAGGCCAGTCACTGTTCTTTGACATTTAAGTTTGTTTTCAATATCAAATAAGAAATATCTTTTCCAAAGTAGAAGCATGAGTTGAGTTGGAGGAATTTGGAAGATTTTGCCCTTTTACAGATGGTGCATTAATTGCATCAACATGTCAACGAATGTTCACACCCTGGTAAAGGAGGTTTGCTCGTGCACTACTTGTATCATTTCACACATTTCTTCCCTAAGAAAAGAGATTTCATTGGAATATACTTCCTTATATTTTTGTATGTTGTAAAGCATTTTTCTTCTTCACTTCACTCTGTATAGACCTTATGTAACACCTCCAATTTTGAAAAACTTCATGTTTTAAAGTTCGTAGAATATTCTAGAAGTCGTATATCAGTATAGTAAGTGGCAAAAATAATTTTAAAAATCAAGTTGTAGTAATCGACCTACCATGTAGAACACAAACAATTGATTGTTGATGATGGAGTTTTTCTTCATCCTTTAAGTCTCCTGAAAAGGCACACACCATCCTCCTGAACCAATAAAATCAAAATTGTTAGGTTAGATTATTCTTATCTGATAACATTGTTATTGCAGAATGTACGGAAAAAAAACCTCTTCGGCTTACTTCATCTATATTTTGTGATTATGGCATTGAAGGTGGTATCCCACTACTTGTTGAGTTGATTGAATTTGTTTATTTAGAGGTGCAGAGAGCAGCTGCAGAACGCTTACAAACATTAGAGTTCCTTTTTTTTCAAATTTCATTTCACTTCGAGAAAGTTTTTAAAAGAAGTCTTATACTAGGGAAAAAGGTGATTATCAAATTTATTATAAACCAGCTCCTCGAATCTAGAAGCAGATAATGTTGCCAATCTGTGTTAAAAAAATCAGAAATCACTGGTTATAATAAATAATTCAGAAACACGAAGTAACCGAGATTTTTAGAACCAGTAAATAAGATGAACATAAATTTATTTGTAAAAATAATTTAATCTGTAAAACTTACCAGAATCTAGAATACTCTTTTTGATAATTTAGGAAGAAAATCAAGTCCACTGAATTCACAGTGCCCCCTTAAGGAAATTATTCCCCTCTAGTATCCGAGGTTTGATTTGGAATATAACCTCACAGGGTAAAATGATCTTAATCAGTAGAGTATAGATACCAAAAAACTCTACTGTCAGCGAATCAATCCACAGCAGGAAAGTACACGAAGAAAAATGTGCTTTTTTAAGAAGAATGAAGATCAGAAAATTCGTCAGTAAATATTCTGAAGACTGAGTGGTATTTATAGGCAAAAACAATATATTCTGAAAGGCTGAATTGACACAACCATTAATGAAAGGTTGCAAACTTTCAAATGGTATTGACTGTTCCTGAAAGTTGCAACCTTTCAGAACAGTGGCGGGAATTTTTAAATATAACGGAATTTAAAACGGGTCACGCGCGCGGATCTGAGTCGGGATTTCGGTTAATTTCTGTTATCAACTGATTAATTGAAAATAATTTTTTGGCCATTTAATTAATTAAATAAATAATTAAAATAAATTTGTCCAAAAAATTATCTCTCGATCGATTGCCAAAGCCGAAGCCGAAGCGAGCGACGACGGCGCGAGGGGGGGTCCCTCTTTCCAACCCTTTTAATAATTAATAGGAGTGTTTATTTATTTAAACTCTCCTATTTTCATTTCCATTACCAATGAGGGACTATTGCCTTTTTTTTTTATTAAAGCATTAGAGGACTTTTCAAGTTCCCAACCTTTCAAGTTCTAAACTTTTCAAATTCCTCTCCTTCCCTCTATTTCCCATCAATTCTTGCTACATACCCAACAATCCCCACATTGATGGGGAATAGTTATAACATAGGAATACACGGACAATTGTGTACTTTACAAGCAAGGATTAATTGCATCTGGATAAGTAGGTTTCCCCTTGGACTTTCCGTAGTGAACATATGTCGGATATACTCGGTCAATCGGTAGATGTGATATCTTTGAACCGTTGAACTTTGGTGTATACCTAGACAACCATATGTCACACAATTAACCCTTTACTGTTTGTGATTCTTCGGTTGTGTTCGTTTCAGCCATGAACACCTCCTGGTTTCATGAGTGTATAGAGAATAGGCTTTTGACATAAAATTCTCTTTGAAGCGACTTCCACTTCACACTCACATAGGTGATTTCTAACCCTGTCATCTCGTAGATACACTATTTGGTCAAATCTACCAAACTTAGCAAATCATTAAAAACTTTAAGCTTTATTACCTCATTAACAAGCCTTAAAGTCTTAACCTTTTCCTGAACATTGTCTTCATTATGAGAATGGATTGAGTTAATTGACAATGTCGAACCGTAAGCCACAACTTTGTTTTTCTCCTTGAATCAAGCTCTTGGGATCTCCAGTCCGCTAGATAGAGTTACCGTCATGCTGACTTGTCCTAAGCCATAAACCCATTCCCTTAGATGATCTTTCAACTGTCTCTCTCACTAGGCCTTTCGTTAGTGGATCTGACACATTATCGCTTAACTTTACATAGTCAATTGTGATAATTCCACTAGAGAACAGTTGTCTTATGGTGTTATGTCTACGTCGTATATGACGAGACTTCCCGTTGTACATAACGCTCCATGCCCTACCTATTGCTGCTTGACTATCGCAATGTATGCAAATTGGTCCAACAGGTTTGGGCCAGAATGGAATATCCTCTAGGAAATTCCGGAGCCATTCCGCTTCTTCACCAGCCTTATCCAAAGCAATGAATTCAGATTCCATTGTGGAGCGAGCAATACATGTCTGTTTGGAAGATTTCAAAGAGACAGCTCCTCCACCAAGTATGAATACATAACCACTCGTGGATTTTACATCATTTAACCCGGTGATCCAATTTGCTTCACTATATCCTTCAATCACAGCAGGATATTTATTATAATGCAAAGCATAATGTTGTGTCCATTTTAAATAACCCAACATACGTTTCATAGCCATCAGTGAGTTTGATTCAGATTACTAGTGTACCGACTCAGTTTACTAATGGCACATGCTATATCTGGTCGTGTGCAATTCATAATATACATCAAACTTCTCAACACTCTGGCATATTCCAATTGAGAGTCACTTTGACCTTCATTCTTTTCAAATGTACAACTTAAATCAATTGGAGTTTTGACTACATTGAAATTCAAGTAATTGAACTTATCCAATACTTTTTCAATATAATGAGATTGAGATAATGATAGTCCCTAGGGAGTTTTGATAATCCTGACCCCTAAGATCAAATCAGCAACTCCTAAGTCTTTCATATCGAACTTGCTGGACAACATGCGCTTAGTAGCATTTATATCGTCAATTTCTTTACTCATTATTAACATGTCATCAACATACAAACAAACAATGACTTCATGATTTATAATGTTTTTAATGTAAACACATTTATCACATTCGTTAATCTTGAATCCATTTGCTAACATTACTTGATCAAATTTAGCATGCCATTGTTTGGGTGCTTACATGAGTCCATAAAGTGACTTCACAAGTCTGCACACTTTCTTTTCTTTACCAGGAGCTATAAACCCTTTAGGTTGTTCCATGTAAATTTCTTCCTCTAACTCTCCATTTAAGAAGGCTATCTTTACATCCATTTGGTGGATTTTAAGATCATGCACTGCTGCTAGTGCTATTAACATCCTAATTGATGTTATCCTTGTTACTGGAGAGTATGTGTCATAGTAGTCCAGACCTTCCTTTTGTCTATACCCTTTGACTACCAGTCTAGCCTTATATTTGTCAATAGTCCCATCAGATTTCATTTTCTTTTTAAAGATCCATTTTGATCCTAAAGGTTTATTTCCTGGAGGAAGATCAGTCAATTCCCAAGTGTGATTGCTTAAAATTGATTCAATCTCACTATTGACTGCTTCTTTCCAATAAGTTGACTCTGATGAAGACATAGCTGCTTTAAATGTTTGAGGCTCATTTTCAAGCAATAGTACTACAAAATCTGGTCCGAAAGAAACAGATTTTCGTTGTCGAGTACTTCGCCTAGGTTCCTCACTAGTTAGAATATTTTCCATTGATTCTTCTCATGGTCGTTTAGGTCTTTCACTTGTTGACTCACTTTCAGTTTTATACGGATAAATGTTTTCAAAAATCTCTTCATTATCTGATTCAATTATCGTATTAACATGAATCTCAGGATTATCAAATTTGTGAACCAAAAATCGACAGGCTTTACTATTCACAGCATACCCAATAAAGACACAATCTATTGTTTTGGGTCCAATTTTAACCCTCTTAGGTAAATGAACCTCTACCTTGGCTAAACACCCCCACACTTTGAAATATTTCAAGTTGGGTTTTCTTCCTTTCCACAACTCATATAGAATTGATTGTGTTTTTCAATGGGGTACTCTATTGAGTATTTTATTAGCTGTAAGGATGGCTTCCCCCCAAAGATTTCGCGGTGAACCAGAATTGATCATTAAGGCATTCATCATTTCCTTTAATGTTCTGTTCTTCTGTTCTGCCAAACCATTTGACTGTGGTGTATAAGGTGCAGTAGTTTGATGAATAATACCATATTCCAAACATATCTCTGCAAAAGGAGATTCATATTCTCCACCCCTATCACTCCGAATCATTTTTATCTTTAGATTCAATTTTTCCACTTCATTTTTGTATTGCTTAAATGCATCAATTGCTTCATCCTTACTATTAAGCAAATATACATAACAAAATCGAGTGCAATCATTAATAAAAGTTATAAAATACTTTTTCCCACCACGAGATGGTGTTGACTTCATATCGCATATATCTGTGTGAATTAAGTCTAAAGTTTTAGAATTTCTTTCAACAGACTTGTAAGGATTTTTAACAAACTTACTTTCCACACAAATTTCACATTTCGACTTATCGCATTTAAAATCAGGCAATACTTCTAGATTAACCAATTTTCGCAAGGCTTTGTAATTTACATGTCCCAAACGGGCATGCCATAAATCACTTAACTCCAATAAGTAAACAGAAACAGAATTTTTATTAATACTGTCAATAACCATTACATTTAGTTTGAAAAGACCCTCATTGAGGTAGCTCTTTCCTATAAACATTTCATTCTTACTTATTACAGCTTTATCACTAACTAGGACACACTTAAACCCGTTCTTAACGAGTAGTGCAGCAGAAACTAAATTCTTCCTAATAGTAGGGACATGCAGAACATTGTTTAAAGTCAACACTTTGCCGAATGTCATTTTCAGCATTACTTTCCCAGTTCCTGCAATCCTTGCTGTTGCTGTGTTTCCCATGAATAAATCTTCATCGTACTCAGCAGGAGTGTACGTTGCAAAGGCTTCTTTTGCAGAGCAAATATATCTAGTATCACCTGAGTCAAGAAACCACTCCTTGGAATTTCCAACTAAGTTACACTCTGATATCATTGCACACAAGTCATCTGCATCTTCCATCTTTTCCATGATGTTTGCTTGACTTTTGTCTTTGCCTTTATTTTTGTCCTTTCTTGGAGCATGAAAATCAGAAGATCTATGACCAGCCTTGCCACAATTATAACAGTTGCCTTTGAATTTCTTCTTGGCCTGTTCTGACTTCTGCCCGTTGGACTTCTTTCTCTTTTTGTCTTTGGTAGGAGCTTCTTCAACAATATTAACTCCAATGATTGTTGAACTCTTACACGACTTCTTTTCGACATTTCTGTTATCTTCCTCAATCTTGAGACGAATCACAAGATCTTCAGGCTTCATTTCTT